ATCCTCAGCATGAAAGAGAGAGAGAGAGAGAGAAAGAGAGAGAGAGAGAGAGAGAGAGAGAAAGAGAAAGAAAGAAAGAAAGAAAGAAAGAAAGAAAGAAAGAAAGAAAGAAAGAAAGAAAACATATTGTGTTCATCTACAACTAAAAAAAAAAAATTTAGAAAGGGTTGGGGATGTGACTCAGGGATTAAGCCCCGCTGAGTTCAACCCCTGATACTCCCCACCCCCCACCCAAAAAAGAAGAAAGAAAGAAAAAGAAAAAATATTAAAACTCCTTAAAGCCTAGGTGGTGACACACACCTATATTCCCAGCAACTTGGGAGACTGACACAGAAGAATTGCAAGTTTGAGGTCAGACTTAGGCTGTTACACAGAATATAAATAAATAAATAAATAAATAGATAGATAGATAGATAAATAAATAGGGCTTGGGATGCAGTTCAGTAGTAGAGCACCCCTGGGTTCATTTCCCAGTACCCCCCACACACACACACAAAAAAAAAACAACACCTCTTTAGCTTTATGTTTACTCTCACCTGTCTTGTTCCCAGGGTTCCTGCTTTTCATTATTTTGTTCAAACTGCTCCCTTTGCCTATGTCTATTCTAGTCTATTCAGCCTGTCCCTACACAAAGTCTTCTCTAATTCCCCTGGCTAAAGATTATCTCTTCATCTTCTGAACTATTTTGGCACTTGAATTTTTTTATAGAATCTTTTTTTTTTGTAGTTGTAGATGGACAGAATCCTTTATTTTATTTGTTCATTTATATGCAGTGTTAAGGATTGAACCCAGTGCCTCACACATGCTGAACTATAGCCTCAGCCCAGCATCATTTTTATTATGGTAACATGCACATGAAATTTTACCATTGCAACATATTCTTAAGTGTACACTTCATTGACATTAAGCACATTTACATTGTTGTGCAACCATCTCCACCAAATGTCTTCAGAACTTTTTCATGTTACTCGGCATATAAGTTTGGTCCTTTATTATGGAATACATTGCTTTCTGCCACGTGGTATAGTTACTGGTGTATGTGCTGTTAGCATAATTGCAGCCATCTTCCTTTTCCCTACCCCCACTTTATGAATACTGTTCTTATTCCCAAGAATAGAAACTAGCCTGAGATAAAACCTGCTGCCCTGGAGACATGCCAGTCTCTCCCTGTCCTCTCACTGAGAGATAGGAGACAACTTACTGGCCCCTGAGATGGGGACGTACTGGTTTCCCTGTTCTTTCCTTGAGAAGATAAAGGGACATGGTGGTTTCTCTGTTCCCCCTCTGAGA